CAACAACCAACTACCTACTACCTACCTACATGTACATGATAAAATAGATACTAGATTCCAACACCAATTTATATTGAAATCACTGTAACTTGTCCTAAAGAATAACGTATTTTATTTTGACGGCAAATATTATATCAAGACTAAAGGTACAGCTATGGGTACTAAAGTCGCCCCAACTTATGCTACTTTGGTACTTGGATATCTAGAGAAAACACTTTAAGAAAGAATATCAACAATACACGGAAACGGCTTTTCAAACTACATTAAAATGAACTGGAAAAGATTTTTGGATGATTGTTTTGCAATAGTCGTGAAAAATATTAACACAGATGATTTATTAAGAGAAATAAACAATTTACACCCCTGTATTCAATTTACGATGAATAAAGTGAAACAAGCATGCCATTTTTAGATGTATTAGTTTTGAAATCTGGAACACATATAACAACAGATATCTACAGTAAACCGACGGACACATACAACTACCTCAACTTTAAATCGTGTCTTCCGAAACATACAAAGTTAAACATTCCTTTCAACCTTGAGTCAAGAATCATAACTAGTAAGAGAAGAAACACTGCAAGAAAAGCGCCTCTCAGAACTTACTACAAGACTTAAAAATCAGAATTACCCAGATGAAATTATTACATACGGAATTTCTAAAGCCAAATTGAAAGGTCCCATCAAAACTAAAGAAAACATAACAGTTAACAAGAAGTACAACGTTATCCCATGTGTCTCAAAAATACCAATATTTCCCAAGCAATTCGATCTTGTGAGAATGTGTTACGAAAAATTGAAAGGATGAACAGTGTTTTAGAAAAGAAGCGTATTATAAACAGTAAAAGACAAGCAAAAAGTCTTCAACACACCTTAACCTCTTCAAAGTTTGACATGAAAAATAATACTGTAACAACAGTTTCTAAATGCAACAGGAGTATCCTTCTTTAATAGAAGGAAATGAAATACAACTTTGTAACAGTAAGACATTTAAAATCAAACAAAGTATGAAATGTGTTTCCAAAAATGTGATATATTCAATAATTTGTGACAACTGTAAACAGTTTTATATTGGCCAAACAAAAAAATGAATTATGTAAACGTATGACTTTACATAGACAACAAACAAACACAGAAGAACTAAGAATGTTGCAAGTTAATAAACATTTACATAAATGTTCAGGGGTTAAATTTAACATTTTCCCTCTGTATAAAATATTTAACGAAAGTGACACTTTTAAAGAAGAAAAAGAAAAACTTTTAATCATATTATTAAAACCACAGCTAAATGCTCATTAGTAATATCTGTTTGTATGTATGTATGTATGTATTCTAGGCTTAATGAGGGTCCATCCGCCCTTTCAGGCACTGAGAGTACGGACCCCGGACATGTCACCATTCATGTCCTTAAATGTTACTATCAACCAAAAGGTGACCTATAAATTTTGAATTCAGTAATTCACTGAATGATACTAAATATGTATGCAAGTCGATTTTTGTGATGATACAATTTTGATGCACGGGAGGCCAATGAGACCATTATATGCATCATGGAGAAAAATAAAAATGAGCTTGACTGATCGATAAGATTATGCAACTCGGACTGATACCTGACACATTTTCTGTATGCACGACCGACATGCACGAAAATTCTTTCCAGGTTTTAACAAGCGAACTTGGAATGGAATTGCCAAACATTGGTTTCTTTTTCAATTTTGTATAATTATGATATTAATAATAATGAGAATATCCCAAAACTGGTGAAATATTTAAATACATAAAAACACATAGTAAGATTCAGCAAATGATATAGAAAAGATCATTGTTTACCTTTTTTACTTTTTTATTGAGGCTTGCTTTAGTAAAAAGGGGGTCTTGACTCCATTCTATATCATTCTTGGCAGACAATATGAAGTTGGCTCATATGACTATATTTGTTGAGTTGGTGGCCAGGTATCTTTCATATTCTTTATGAATATATCTCATATGGGGTTGCGTTTTGAAAGGACTGAAATTTTTTGGTTTAATGGCCTTGGCTTGTCCTACGTTTTGTTAAGTTGGCTCTATGGGCTTCACATGAATTGGTCCGTAGGCATACTTAATGGCCTGAAAGTGTCCAACCTCATATTATCTGTTAGCTTCTTCTTACAAAATTAAAAGAAAACTTTAAATAACAAAAAGCATGTTATTTTGGGTTGTAAATGTTTTCATCTAAAGAGTAAGTTACATATACTGATTCCAAGTGATAAACTAGAATAACACAGTATCATGCAATAACATAGGAAAACTACGAGGACCGGTAGGGCCATTTCAACTTCATGAATTCCCGATTTCGTCTTCATGAATTCACAAATTAAAATTTCGTGAATTCCCGTTTTCATCATAGGAATTCACGAATTCAAGATTTCAGCTTCGAGAATTCACGACTTCAACTTCACGATTTCACGATTTCAACTTCATTAAATTACGATTTCAACTTCACGAATTCACGATTTCAACTTCATGAATTCACGATTTCAACTTGACGAATTCAACTTCGTGAATTCACGAATTCAACTTTGTGAATTCACGATTTCAACTTCACGAATTCACGATTTCAACTTCATGAATTCACGATTTCAACTTCATGAAGTTAAAATCGTGAATTCGTGAAGCTGAAATCGTGAATTCGTGAAGCTGAAATCATGAATTCATGAAGTTGAAATCGTGAATTCGTGAAGTTGAAATCGAGAATTCATGAAGCTGTAATCGGGAATTCGTGAAGTTGAAATGTCCCCACCGGTCTTTACGGTATTACGTTAGGATTTTACTGAGAAACAACCTAAAACTCCGAATCCATCCAAAAATTTAATCGAAGCTTGGCTTCCAGCTTTCTACAAAATTTATCTGTCTGGGCTGGAATCCAAAATTATTTAGCCAATCAAATTTAATCTTACATAGCGTCAAAAAACCTTCAATTTCACGCCATTTTTAAAAGCAGCAAGTATTGCTTTAAAATGTTTGTTTTCATGAAATCTTTTCAGTAAATCATATTTACACTGACTTTTGATTTAGCGATTTCACCTGTTTTCTCTGCAGTAAGTTTTCGTTTGGTTAATTAACATAAGTGTACATCTGGTTCTGTGCATTTTTTCCCGGTCATTTTATCCTTTCCGGGATCGTATTATATATAGAGGAAAACTAATAAACTATATTTGTGTTGATTATTAATTGTCGTAATGAAAGGCCATTAAACGTAAAGTTTTTTTTTGTTTTTTTTATTGTATGTAATGAACGTTAAATTAATTTAACTTAGGATATAAATATATTTAGAGCTATTTATTAACAAACTTAAAATGCGCAAATCACAATACTTATAATTATATGCCTATTAATTGGAAAAATCAAAGACTATATTCTTGAATTGGTCAAATCCCGGGATCCCTATATGTTTTAATACGATCTCAGCTTTTCTGAAAACTATATTCTTGAACTGGCCAATTCCTGGGATCTCTATATATTTCAATACGATCCCGGCTTTTTGAAAACTATATTCTTGAACTGGTCAATTCCCGGGATCCCTATATATTTCAATACGATCCCGGCTTTTTGAAAACTATATTCTTGAACTGGTCAAATCCCGGGATCCCTATATGTTTTAATACGATCCCAGCTTTTCTGAAAACTATATTCTTGAACTGGCCAATTCCCGGGATCTCTATATATTTTAATACGATCCCGGCTTTTCTGAAAACTATATTCTTGAACTGGTCAATTCCCGGGATCCCTATATGTTTTAATACGATCCCGGCTTTTCTGAAAACTACATTCCTGAACTGGTCAATTTCCGGGATCCCTATATGTTTTAATACGATCCCAGCTTTTCTGAAAACTATATTCTTGAACTGGCCAATTCCTGGGATCTCTATATATTTTAATACGATCCCGGCTTTTTGAAAACTATATTCTTGAACTGGCCAATTCCTGGGATCTCTATATATTTCAATACGATCCCGGCTTTTTGAAAACTATATTCTTGAACTGGTCAATTCTCGGGATCCCTATATATTTCAATACGATCACGGCTTTTTGAAAACTATATTCTTGAACTGGTCAATTCCCGGGATCTCTATATATTTCAATACGATCCCGGCTTTTTGAAAACTATATTCTTGAACTGGTCAATTCCCGGGATCCCTATATATTTCAATACGATCCCGGCTTTTTGAAAACTATATTCTTGAACTGGTCAATTCCCGGGATCTCTATATATTTCAATACGATCCCGGCTTTTTGAAAACTATATTCTTGAACTGGTCAATTCCCGGGATCCCTATATATTTCAATACGATCCCGGCTTTTTGAAAACTATATTCCTGAACTGGTCAATTCCCGGGATCCCTATATGTTTTAATACGATCCCGGCTTTTTGAAAACTATATTCTTGAACCGGTCAATTCCCGGGATACCTATATATTTCAATACGATCCCGGCTTATCTGAAAAACATCTACTTAGACTGGTCAATTTCCGGGATCCCTTTATTTTTAATACGATCCAGGCTTTTCTAGCTGAATTGATTGACAACTTGTGTTTACTTTAGTACTTGTGCCTGTCACTCATTCCAATACTAAATAACATATTACAACTTAACTTCGTATAAAGAGACATCTTTATGAATTCTACCTATCTTACATTTTTTTTGGTCAAGGTCAACAGGTCATATAGTAAATGTGCATAGACATAGGTTTACATGCATCTTCATATAAACCCCAGTAGGCACATCAACGTTGTTTCAACGTTGAATTATGGTCAGATTTCAACGTTGAAATAAGGTTGGATTTATATTCGGATTTGAAAGTTTAAAAACAACGTTGAAATTCTAAGGTTGATACAACCTTGCAGCTTCAACATTGGCACAACGTTGAAGTTTCAATGTCATTTCAACGTTGAAAACCCACCATACTTTAATTTTTGGATATAAAGCAAACTAACCAAGTTTAGCAAAATATCAAGACAATATTAAATACTTCAGATGTTTTATTTCAAAAATACAGTTCAAGTGCAGCTTAAATTCACTTTAATAGTTTTAACAATTAAGCTACAATCTGTGTATGTCAAGTGTTTGAGTACTTTTTTGGCTGTCTCTTACTGCTTCTGCAAATAAAAATAAGAAGTTTGAAGTTAACAGTGACTTGGTCAATCTCAAATTATACATATAACTACTCAACTTAGTGATTTGTTTTTATCTTAAAATGCTTATCTCTAAGATTAACATCATAAAACAGCATAGAAATTGAAACAAAGCTAAGTTTCATATTGACAACAAATACTGTACATAAGACAACAAAATCTTTTAAAAAAGAAGCTATTTAAAAGTCTCACCTATGATTGGTAAGAAAAACTGCATGCTCCCCGTCAGTTACTTTCAGCATATTCCCATGCAAGAAATTATCATTCTAGGCGATAGCTATAGACCATTTTATGCAGTATGAGTATCCTGAAATTAACAAACATGTAAATTTTATATTAATAATGCTATATATATACAGGAATATTCTGAAAATAATATATTTTAAGACAAGATAGTTGAAAAAAATTTACTTTGTATTGTAAAGAAATTCAAATATTAATTTAATAAGAATTAATTTCAATTTAACAAACCTGACAGTCCTTTTCATGTTGAATGTATGGTATACAGGCTACAGCTACAATACTCTAAATTTCAGCCAGGACCAGGATCTAGAATATAAAATAATACATAATAAAATAGAAATAGATCTAGATTCATTATTCCCTATATAAGTTAACGTACTCATATTCCTCTTTGTTAAACTGAGAGAACTGGCTTCCATAACTTTATTTGTCACTTTTATTTTGATGTTCGCTGAAGTCTCTTCAGCTAACAAAACTGTCATTTTTACATTTAAACACACCCCTGGAAAAAAATACGAAGCGAGTCGCTAATTAGTTTTTTTTTAAATATCACCTTAATGCAGTTTATTAGAAGGGAAACAACCCTGGTATACACTTCATCTCCCTTTACAAGTCAGGTGTCTTCTGAGTACCGTATACAACGGAGGCAGGCGATTTCAAGAATTCGAGCCGAGTTGTTACGATTGCAACGGAGGCTGACGAGTGTACCGGATGCAGTAGTTCCGAGCATACCGGTATTAGTGAGGTTAGTGCAACGTGCAAAAGTAGTGTTCAGTGACGCCATTTTGACGATCTATAGAAGAGTCTAATTATTTAGCTACTGCTCATCCAAGAAAGGTAATTGCTATGATTGTATTTACAACCCTTTGTAATCAATCTATACAGGTTCAATATTAGAGGCAGCGGTAATTTTTACCAATTCCGCCCCGGAAAATCGTCGCTACCAAAATTTTATTTTCCGTTACGGCGTTAGTGTAAGAATTTGCCCTCAAATTCTGCACTTATAGAACGAAGTTTACCTCAATTTTTGGTTTCGTTCATATATAGTCTAATCTACTTGAACGATTTAAACCGGAATTTTTCATCGGAATCTCCGTAGTTAAGCAGGAATTGCCATATACTTGGGAAGGTCGGCGTGACGTCACTTCCCGTAGAAACCGATATTCTATAAATAGCCGAGGTGAAAACAAATACAAATAGCAACGAATAACATTATGGTTAATAAGTGTTTAGCCTGCGTTTTTAATCAAATAATATCAGCCAAAAATAAATTATGTTCTTTTAACTTATTTGTTTATCTATCTACGTTGTAGATCTACTGGTCAATGTTTCCAGCAAATTATTGATATACTCGGTTCCTATGATATCAAGGGTTCTATGATATCAAGGTATTTAAATTTTCTGTGACTGCTAGTAAAAGCAACACATGATGATGCTAATATTTGTAAAACTTGCACACTAGATTCATTTTCATCTGCCAATAAATTTAATTTGGTGAATAATGAATGTATTTGTTTGTGGCAAGAAACCTATTTTATAAACCTCCATATTTGACTACCATTTTCCTTAATGGTTTTTACACAGTCAATTAAAATATGTTATAAACACATATACTGACATATAGTCTGTTCATATAGTTTTAATTTAACAGCAAGTTAACTGTTGAAAGTTTTTCACAACTTAACTTGAAAGTTTTGACTTATCTATCCTTCCATACTTGCTTTTTTGGGGATTACCTTGATACCGTAGTAACCTCCTCTGAAATTACCCAAAATAGCAGACATTGAAAATATTCTAAAAAAATCCATTTTTATTGGTTCTTTTGAAAAAAATTTTTGACAAACAGTTCTGGAAAAGGTTCACTTATAAGATGGACTAAAAATCTCACTCTCTTATGATATTTATATTTAAATATTTCTGATAAACGTTAAGTACCTTGATATCATAGAACCCCGGGCTATAGATCTATTTAGGTGACAACTTACAAATACAGAAATCATTTCATTTAATGACTAATGTGTCGTCCTACGATGTCACAAAGACTATGAGAGTGACATCTGATATTCTGTGTATTGTCGATGTTAATTTCTTGTATTGTCTCTTTTTAAAACCCAACACATCATTAAATTATGCATGCATAAATTAATAAAATTCATATTATTTTTATTTCTAAGAGTTTTTCCACAGACACTTGGGGTTTGGAGCTCAAAACGCCTTTAAAATCCAAATAAAATGCATATTTGTCAATCCCAGCACATGGACTGATCATATATATATAAAAAAAACTTAATATAAGCCGTTTTGAAAAAATTCATATTTCAACATCTATAATAATACACAAGATAAAAATGTTCGCCAGAAAAAATCCGCACCCCTACCTTCATAATCACCATGCATTTTATTCCATTTCCAATATTTTCACATAATCCTTTGGTCCATCGACACAGAAGATATAATTCTTCACAATGATGGTCAATTTTAAACTTCAACGGTAATAACTAATATAAACAATGCAACATCCGAAATAAACATCAAGATTAATTTATCGCCGTTTTTCTCCATTGACAAAATCTTTCGATAAATTCAAACGTGGCCCTAGCTTTGCCGTGTGCAAAATGCGCAGCGCTTTTAAGTTTGGGAACCAAATAATCAGATGGCTTGGTTCATAGCCGACTGTCACTAAAATTATCTAACATGTGACGAGAATGTTATTCTGATAGAAAAAGTGTTGACACTCGTAGTATGACTGAATTCAGATAGTGTATATTATATATATACTTATAATATTTATTATTTCATTGTCAAGTAAACATTTGATTAGTTTATACATGTATACAGTAGAGTTGCTATATATATAATCATTATAAGCTCTACTTAAACAGTGTCTCTTCTAGGAGGGGGGATTCACCAATATTTTTGAGAATTCCCCCCTATTTTTTCAGGGGCAGGGGGAAAATTTTACATAGGGAAAGAAGGAAAAAAATCAACAAATGTTATAAATTCTCTTTTTTCGACAAAAATCCCCCGTTTTTCAAATCCTAGAATAGACACTGCTTAAAAAGCATTTAATCAATTATTTGAATAACGAAAATGCCATATAATTCGTACTGTAGCTAGTAATTTCTTGAGTGACATAAACGTCATGATCATTACATAATGCTATTAATCAAGTAGAAAAATAGTTTTAATGAACAGTTGCGCGTTCATATTTTTATATTATGTAAATGTCGGCGATCCTTGTTTCTAATCACATCTGGTAAAGTACGTAATTAATGATATTTTTCTTTCTTCCAAATGAATATTGTTGCAACACTTCAAATCGTTGGAATGTTGAAAAATATTCAATTATTTGTTTAATTCTACAAAATGCAGCAAAAAACAACGACTGTCGCTAGCCTTGTCAAATACAAAATGGCGTATGTTTTCACCTCGGCTTATTGCTAGGCAACAAACTTCAGTAAAGTGCCCGGACATCCGACCTGACCAATTCCGCTTGATTAGGACATTGCCTGAAACTCAAAGGTGTGTTTCGGAATTCCTTTTGGTACTGCTGCTACTGTGGCACTGGTGAAATTAACTATTTGGTACCTTGAATCCCTCGTTCCAGTGTATCCTTTTTGCTTTTTAATTAAATAGCAGTATAAGGCAAGTTGCATGTTATTGTTATAAAATCTATTATTAGTAACAAATTGCTGATAAGAGATACAGGTAACTTGCAAAAAAATATGGTGGCTGATAAAATGAAAAATATAGTAATTTTATATTTATAATAACAAACTTATTTTTTATTTAACAGCTTAGTTATAGTATTTTATATCTTTAGAAATGTCATTTTACTCATATTTTTTTACATTAAAAAATAAATTAACAAAACATTTTCATTTTTTCTTGGTAAAGAGTTAAACTTGGTGCTAAAAAAACTATTGAAATAACAGTTGAAAAATAGCTGAGCTTTCCTTTCTGCTTATATTTCAAAAATATGAAAATATAGAACTTTCAAATGATATAAAAAAGAATCTAATAATAAAGTTATTAGAGTTTAAAAATTCTGCTGCTATATAATGAATATAAATATTGGTTCTTCTTGCCAACTGGTAAATCTGCTAAATTCTGGCAGCAGGTGCTTGTGATGTCACCATGCAATGGGCCTAATTGTTTTTTGAATTGAACCATTTCAATTTTAATATAATATGAAATTTGGCAAAGCCTATGAACGGGGAAGTCTGTTAAAAAATCCTATAATTTTTCCGTTTTAAAGGTGTCATTTGGTATTATATGTACCCGCTGCCGTTTTCACTCGGAACACTCCACGATTATTATTAATCCGAAAAGTTGAGATTTGTAATCCGTTATCGGAACACACCGCCTTTTATCATTGAGTTACATTGTAAATGGCGGCGCCTAACTAGATCCGACACTGAAAATTTCATTGAAAGGTATAGAATTCCAGTCAATGCGAAAGTCAAAATATTTTTCCAGCCACAAGGACTGGGATCCTTAGATTTATTTCAGGCCCTGATGATTTTTTTGCGGCCCGGACTCTGAAAGGTATTTTTTGTAGGGGTGGGGGAGGGATATTGCCATAATTATAGCAAAAATATTCAGCAAATATGAATTTTCTGACTCAACTTTAAGATACTATGAAAAAAAAAAAAACAGAAACATAATAAATAAAACAGTTTTGCATTTTTTAGGCCAAAAATTGTTTCAAACTGGCTGAAATTTTATTCGGACATGAGGACTGACTGTATCGAAATTTTCTCGGCCCTCCTGATTTTTAGTTGGCGAGGTCCGAGGACCGACAGACTTTCGCACAGACTGGAATTCTATATATTTTTATTTATTTTTATTATGCCCCCGCCATGTAATGGCCGGGGCATAAAGTGTTACCCTGTTCCGTCCTTCCGTCATTCTGTCATTCCGTCATCATCAGTTTCCGTTCATTATCTTAAGAACGGTTGCACACATTCAACTCAAATTTGACATATGGATATGTCATGAGAAAATACAGATCAAGTTCGAATTTGGTCATGGTTCGATGATTTTTGGCAGAGTTATGCCCCTTTTACTTTGAAAATAATTCCGTTCATTATCTCCCCAACCGTACAACACATTCAACTCAAACTTGACATATGGATATGTCATGAGAAAATATAGGTCAAGTTCGAATTTGGTCATGGTTCGATGATTTTTGGCAGAGTTATGCCCCTTTTACTTTGAAAATAATATGAAATTTTCAGTTTCCGTTCATTATCTCTCCAGCAATACAACACTTTCAACTCAAACTTGACATATGGAAATGTCATGAGAAAATACAGGTCAAGTTCGAATTTGGTCATGGTTAGATGATTTTTGGCAGAGTTATGCTCCTTTTACTTTGAAAGTAATATGAAATTTTCAGTTTCCGTTTATTATCTCCCCAATGGTACAACACATTCAACTCAAATTTGACATATGGATATGTTTTTGGAATGCCCAGGCCAAGTTCAAATTTGGTCATGGTTCAATGATTTTTGGCAGAGTAATGCCCCTTTCACTTTGAAAATATTATGAAATTTACAGTTTCTGTTCATTATCTACCCAACAGTGTTACATATTCAACTTAAATTTGACATATGGATATGTCAAAGGAATGGGCAGGTCAAGTTGGAATTTGGTCATGGTTTGATGATTTTTTGGCAGAGTTATGTCCCTTTCACTTTGAAAATAATATAGATACATCTAAGGAATAAGCAGTTTAAGTTTGAATTTGGTCGTGGTTCAATGATTTTAGACAAACTTATCTTTCCTGAATGTTGGAAAAATTTTGAACTTTCAGTTTCAGCATTCATACTTTTAGCCATTATTTTGGCTACAAAATATGCAATATGCTATTTTTAAAAGGTTAAGACTGAATAATTTCAGTGCTTTGAACATTATATGAAAATGGTTTGTGTTAACATTGAAAAGTTTTAAGGGCTTTGAACTTAAATGAAAAAAATAATTAATGCACCATCTGAAATTTTGGCTGCATGCGGGGGCATCCGTGGCATGATGACACATTTCTAGTTTCATTTTCTTTTAAATATACATGTGTAGTCTGTAGCCGGGCAAGTCATAGTGGGCCCGGTCTTTGACTTCCCCATATAATTTCTGTGGATTCATGGATGGGGGATTTACTAAAAGGTGAATCCTTAGAGTTTCTACAGGAAGCAGAGGTTATGCATTCACCCTTGAATGTAAAGTCTGGGAGGCCACCCTTGGTCGCCATTAATTTTACACCAGTGTAACAGTTGAAGGCAATTCGGCATGTTGGTACAAGCCTTGCCAAGGCTATTGTCGCTGTGAGGGAAAGCTCTAAAGCTCTGGTAATCTAACGAGGGATGTTTTTACAAACGGGTGAGAGTGGTTTCGTAGAACTACCGGTTCGGCTAACTGATATTATATAATAAAACAGGTAGTGGTTTGGGCGAACTTAATTTTTATAGTGCAAACAATATCTATTGTATAGTTGGCATGTCAATTACCGTGGGTCTAAATATGTGGTTTATCACATATTTTCATGCAATTAAAAACAAGATATTGAAAATTTAAGCCTATTATTTTTTCTTTTCTTTAGTTTAATAGTAATATTTACATAAAAGCATTACACAATACAAAGGAACAACATCATAGAAATATATACACAACTATACATGTAAGTAAAACCTAAAAAAATGAATAATGATTTAAAATTTACACAAATTACATTTCACAAATAAGTGAAGCCTGTAAAATAAAAAAAATATTACTTTTATTATCTATGTCAAACTATATATATATTCACAAATAGTAAAAGCTGAAAAAGAAGAAACAATGTTTTTAATCAGAATAAAGTCGACATATACACAGAGAAAGTAAAACATGTAAGAGAAAGAATTAACTAAGTATTTTATAATCTATATATATAAACACAAAAACAAGAAAGACAAAAAGCATATAAAAACATTAATCCAAAAAATCCAAAATAAGAAAAAATTGTACCATTATTTTGTACTTAATAACCAACACATCTTTTTTTAAATTTTTTATTTATCACTATATAAACAATTGACACATGCATAGTATTTAAGATTAAATAATACACCATGATTTTACGTAATAAACAACAACAATCTGCATTTATTCTTTATTCATCACTCATATAAAACTTAAAGATAACAAACAAATCATTATCAAAATAAGTAGAAAATAAAGACATACTTGTACAATATATAATATTCATTAATGACATTTGGGTCAAAATTTAATTATAACAAAATATTGATGATAAAAACACTTAATATATATTATGAACCATGTATTCTTTGCCTTTAATTACAATATAACATAAGATCTAGGAAACCACTTTCGCACCTCTTTATAAATTAAGTTTGCCAAACCTGTAGTTCGAGGAAACCACCACTTATCTTACAAACAATCTGTCGACACAAGTTCTCCCCTGAGATGCTTTGTCAGATAGATTTTACACAAAATAAGTCTCGACTGATCGTAGTGACAGGCTAGACCATACTAGCTCGGAAGACGAGACAGACGACGAGGTGGATATAAAACCCACTGCACGAGATTGGACAGAGATGGTGAAGGTGGTGAAGGCGGCGACAACGGTCCTTGCTGCACATAATGACAGAAACGTCAGAAACATGGGTCTTTGTCTGTGGTGAGTTCAGTTCCCATGAGTTAAAAATAATTCTTAGTCGTAAATTTTTTTTTTGATAATAAATAACAAGAAAAGTCAGTTTCATCTGGTTTTATTGTACATGTATATTTTTTTTTAAACAAACAAAAAAAAGACATTTTCAATAATTTATTCCAGTGTGTTTGCATATATAAATTTGTTCCGATATATTGATGTATCGTTGATATTTACTTTGATAGAAATTTTGATATATCGATACAAAAATTTCTATCAATGACAGCCCGAAGGCCTAAAAAAAAAAAAAAAAAACCCTGTATTTCAGGGAACCAACCCTACCTAGTAAAAGTCACCGACCCTAGAGGTTTTTTTTTTTTTTCACATGTCCAATAAAATTTAAAAAAACTAAAAATATCTAATAATGACCTATTTGATACAATGTATTAAAAACAAAATTACTTGAAAGATATTGACCCCATGTGACCAATTTTTGACAAGTCAAATAAACAGCAGTAAACTTTGTCTTCAAAAGGTTACATCAGCATCAGTAAATTTTGCCATAAATTACAAATTTAAAAATCTTGTTTTACAAGGCCTGTTGAAATAGCGGGTGAGTATCAATCTAAAAATAATCATAAAACATTCAATTTGATATAATCAAAATCAACAAAAACTAGAATTGTGAGTGTTTCTGCAGGAAACAGACAAGTTTCATTTGTCACATATTTTTGTGATGCCGATTTTTACGATGAAAAATTAAAGTAACCAAAAGGAAAAGTTTATTTTGTTCAAATGTGTCCAATAGCACTTAAAAAGTAGTTTATTAATTAAAATTACTTATAGTATTGTTAACATTAGTCTCCGTGGTCGAGGGGTTAGAGTCGATGACTTCTAATACAGTTGTACTACCTCTGGCGTGGGTGGATCCCCGGGAGATGCTTTGGTAGTTTAGCGCGGAGGAAGGTAGTCTAGTACTGGTGTTTACACAACTCTCCAGGAATGATGGTTAGGAAAATACCCCCCTATATACTGTTTGGAAAAGGCATAAAATGAAACAAACAGACAAACAAACAAACATTAGTCTAGATTGAGAAATTTGCCAGTATGTGTTGTACAAAGAATATTTTGTTAAGGGAGGAGGGGGGTTTGAGTTAGTCAGGAAGAAAACAGTATACAGTAGTCTGATGATACAGGGTTTTATAAATTATATTACAAATATTTTCAATCACAAAACAGTGTTTCCCATTTGGAACATATATATTACCATTTTTCTAAATAAGCTTTGTCAGCCAGTGACAGCCCATTACTCTGCTTATTCATCATATTCATCAACTATAACAGTGTTGCATCTAGGCCGTGCGATTGCGCGATTTGCGCATTTTATTTGCAGATCACACATTTTAATGAAGTCAATGCGCGCCAAGTCGCGCATCTGATGATCTTTCTTATCTTCATTGTATCTTGATCGAGCTGGTTGAACGCTTCAGCCATGTTTGTTTTCACTCGTGGTTAAGACTAAAATACGTACTAAATCGTGTGCAGCAGCCGACTTGGTCATCTCGCGTGTTATTGTAGTATTCGTCAATATTTTATTTTTTTATTGCCGTTGTTTAGCGTACGATAGGTGTTAAAAATGCCTAAATGTAAGTTAAGTGAATTCTTTTCTGTAT